ATGTAATCTAGAATAGCCAATAAAATTCGTGTTTCATTTATAAAGAATCATTGTCTGGTGTCGTATAATTCTAAAGTCAAACCTTTGCCAAAGATCACGTTACCTCTCTAAGAGCTTACAAATTATCATAATTGTATTAACCTGTGGCCAAGGAAAATACATATAGTCAAATTGGTAATATACAATGACATTAACTTCTCGCTGGCCGAGTAGCTGATAGAGTGTAAACTATCAAATTTGAATTTAGTTTTAATCAGGTGGACCTCGAATTTTCAGATCGAGTTCTTTCAAACCTGAGCTAGAAATAAAATTAATGATTAATTCCCTTATAGAATTAACCACTTAAATTACAGTTAAGTCCCTACAATAGATAGATAGATAGATAGAGAGAGAGAGAGACAGACAGACAGACAGACAGACAGACAGATAGATAGATAGATAGATAGATCTTTCTCACCTGGCCTTGACTCAGAATGAAGATTTTGTCTCCTGGATTTCCATTTCGAATTATATAATCACCATTACTGTATTGAGACTAAGAAGAAGATGGATATGGTTATACAGAGAAAAATAAAAGCCATGGTATAAAAAAAAGCCGTACATATACTGAAAATATAGTTTTTATATCTGTATTATTATTATTATTTTTTTTTTGAGTTGTGTTTAATTGGTGCAAACAAACTAAAAGTTGGATTTGATCAAGCTATAGGCAGCGCTGTGAACGCTTCAAGTTGTTGAGTTTATTGATCACATGCTGATCATGGAACAGCAGTGAAATATGATGGTGATGCTCAGTCATACACACCTCCTCCAGTGCATCAGACACTTTCATGAGAACATCCTCTGGAAACTCACAGAGCAGTGCCACACTAAGAGACACAGACAAACCAGTGTCAGGAAACCAGGCAGCTACATTCACTAGTGTAAATCACTTTAGACTCCCCTACTCCCCTAAAGGAAATTACATCTGAGCTGCAATACTAAACTAAAAAAGTTTTTCAGTAAACTAACAAAACATACTTAATACACATAAAAATTATAACCAAATACAGATGTTTGTTTAGTTTGTTCTCAGGACTTACTATAGGATACACATGATTTGATACATTTAACTCTTAGTTTGTAGTGCAAACAAACGTTCAACGTCATTTTTATGAGTATATGAATAAATAAAACTGAATTCAGTCTAAACGCTGCATTTATTAAAATTAACATATCATGTCTTCACTGTCTAACTTCCTTATGCATTTTTGAAAAATACTGAATTTATTAACTGCACTTTCTGGTCAGCCCCGTTGTACTTTGACATTTTCCCCCGAAATACTGGTATGATCCTTCTGACATCATATTTCAGGTCGCGACATGAACATTTCTGTACAGAAGGTTCACATTTCATCTTCACCCATCAAGCTCAATAGTTCAGCTCTGTTACGGAGGAAAATATCATAGTGATCAAATACTGTTTTTGGCACAAAGCACAAGAATAATGTGTTGACAGCTTTTAAGCCATTTTTGAAATTCTAACATTAAACCCCAAAACATTTTGAATGTAACGGGGTTGCCAAACATGATTTTTTTGTCTTCTTCCAATTACAATGTGACATTTGTTACAAGGCACAATGAAACGAGTGATAATACAAGCATTTACTCACAGGCTGTTCATTTGTATTACATGCATAATGAATTATTTAGAGTTCAGTTAAAGAAATGGTTAATTAGTATTCTGCTTTGTCAACATTAGAATTCTAGATCTGCTGGCTGTCTTTCTATTGCTTGTATTCGTTGCTATTGTTTTGATTGGTTTTATTGATAGATTTTTTTTGGATTGTGTTATGTATTATTTTTTTTTTATTTGTTCTGTTTCTCTTGATTGTTTTTTATTAATAGATTGTTTTATGGATTCTTTTTGCATGTAGTTTAATCATATCTCTTTTTAGGGTGACTTGTAACATTCTGTCCAGGGATTACGGATGAAAAATAGCCTTTGGCTAATTCTGGTACATTTACAGAAATGTTTTATTAATGTGCAATGTCCCAGTTAACTAAACAAATAAAAACACTAAAAATAAATGTCTATGGTGGTTATGGCCCTAACTTAAAATGTAAAAATTCAACAGTGAAATTTTTCAAATAAAATGTAAAAATAAATAAATAAAATGTCAAAAAATAATAAACTAAATGTAATTAATTAATTACATTTCAAAGAGCTATTTAAAAATACATACGAATGCCCATGAATACAGTATGCATACATATAAATAAAAAAATATTTCCTCATTTATTTATAAAATGTATAATTCTATTTAAGAAGACAAAAGTATGTCTTGTAAAGGTCTATGTGAATATGGTAACGGTGGCATTAACCTGCGCAGGAAGTGCAAAGACTGTGTGATAGCGGCGAGTCCATTCCTCTGCATGATCCTCTGAAACACCTGACCCTCCATCACCCACAGCCTGCTGTTGACCAGAGCTGCACACACACACACACACACACACACACACACACAGCAAAGACTGAGAAGAACTGGATTTCCAACAGTCTGTGAACTAACGGCTCTTTGTTTTGGTGAAAGACAAATACGTGATTTCTCTCCTCATGGCTGTGATGGAGAGGGATCAAAGGAGAGAGCGAGACAGTGCGGCTTTGGTGGATAGACATATAAAGACAAAAAGAGAAATTGATATGGACCGTATGAACTGTATGAGACAAATACGTGTGAGATCTCTGTGGAAAACACCAGACTAGCATGGGTTGAGGCTGATCAGCGAATCTGTTCATCAGCAAACATTATCTCTAAACATTCATTAATATATTTAAGCTAACATGGGATAAATTCAATTTCCAGGGTAATATGTGAGTTGCCAGGCAATGAATATCATCTGTTTGTTCCTTATATCAGGTCCAAAGGCCCCTGTGATGTTTATATATAACGTCTTACATAAACAAAGATCTACCCACATGACGTTTTATAAAAACACGGGTCAGTTGTTTGACCGTGAGATCAAAAATATTGTATAGAAATTTAAAAAGAACAGCATTTATTCAAAATAGGAATCTTCAATATACACTACTGTTCAAAAGTTTAGGATCAGTCCTTTTTTGAAAGAAATTAATATTCAGCAAGGATGTGTTGAATTGATAAAAATACTTATATTGTTAGAAAAGATTTCTATTTTGAGTAAATGCTGTTCTTTTTAACATTTTATTCATCAAAGAATCATGAAAAAAGTATCACCGGTTCCAAAAAAAAAAAATTAAGCAGCAAAAACTGTTTCCAACATAGATAATAAATCAGAATGTTAGAGTGATTTCTGATGGATCGTGTGACACTGAAGACTGTAGGATTGGCTGCTGACAATTCAGCTTTGCATCACAGAAATAAATTATTTTTTAAAGCATATTAAAATAGAACATTTTCATTTGTAATTATATTTCACAATATTACTGTTTTTTCTGTATTTTTGATTAAATAAATGCAACCGTGATGAGCAAAAGAGGCATCTATAAAAAACATTAAAAATCTTATTGTTTCCAAACTTTTGCCGTGTGTGTGTGTGCGTTTGTGTACTCGGAAGATACTACAGCTGAATAACAATAGTGTTATTTCCTCCTAAAAAATACATTACAAAATCTACCTTGATGATAAAAAAAAATTTTTTTTGAGTAAATGTTATGAAGGATAAGCGCTAATCATTTCAGCCATTTTGTGTGCAGTTTAATATTTGCCTTTTGCACAGATATCAGTATCAGTCACTGAAAAGACTGTCGAACACTAAAATTTACAAGTCAGATTGTTTATCCATAAAACACAAGTGAATTCTTAATGAGTTCTGAAAAAAGTACTTTGTGTTTCAGGATTTCTGTCTCAGGTGACTCTAAAATACAATCAAAACTTCTCCTCCTGAATTGTGACCTGCTTCTACTAAGTTACAATTTTTCTAAAAACAAAAACAAAAAACAAATAGGGAAGTGCTGAAAATAGAGTTCACCCCCAACTCATTCTCTATCACTTCCTGAGACCCTCTTGAATTAGTAATGACACCGATTAATTGACTCTGCTGTCGTTAAGAAGAGAAATACTGCAATCTGTCTCCTCTTCTCTCCCCTGCTACCTCTGTCTACCTCTCTTTTATCTCCTGTCCTTTCCTCTGCCGGATCTCTGGGAATAGCCGAGAATTTGAAAATAATCATTACACCCCAAAAATGCAGAACTGGACTGCAATAAACATCATGAACACAGATATGACTCAGACACTGAAATGCATTTTTTTATTTATTTTTTGGTCAATTTAACTTGACCAAAAGACATCTAGTGTTATAAGGTCACACACACACACACATACACACACACACACACATATATATATATATATATATATATATATATATATATATATATATATATATATATATATATATATATATATATATATATATATATATATATATATATATATATATATATATATATATATATATATATATATATATATATATATATATATATATATATATATATATATATATATATATATATATATATATATATATATATATATATATATATATATATATATATATATATATATATATATATATATATATATATATATATATATATATATATATATATATATATATATATATATATATATATATATATATATATATATATATATATATATATATATATATATATATATATATATATATATATATATATATATATATATATATATATATATATATATATATATATATATATATATATATATATATATATATATATATATATATATATATATATATATATATATATATATATATATATATATATATATATATATATATATATATATATATATATATATATATATATATATATATATATATATATATATATATATATATATATATATATATATATATATATATATATATATATATATATATATATATATATATATATATATATATATATATATATATATATATATATATATATATATATATATATATATATATATATATATATATATATATATATATATATATATATATATATATATATATATATATATATATATATATATATATATATATATATATATATATATATATATATATATATATATATATATATATATATATATATATATATATATATATATATATATATATATATATATATATATATATATATATATATATATATATATATATATATATATATATATATATATATATATATATATATATATATATATATATATATATATATATATATATATATATATATATATATATATATATATATATATATATATATATATATATATATATATATATATATATATATATATATATATATATATATATATATATATATATATATATATATATATATATATATATATATATATATATATATATATATATATATATACACAGTATATATGCACACACATGGATAAATAAATAAACAGTTTTATAGTAATTTATGGTTAAATATGGTTATTTATTTTCTCATCGTTCAGTGAAGGCCATGCCTCATGTGTTGTAAAACATCTGTCCGCTGAGTTTAAATTAGAGTAAAACATTCAAAACATTTAACATTTAATGGGGAAATATGTTAAACCCAACCCAGTTTTCTCACGTTTTGACTTATTGCAAACATTTTTTTATTCAATTCAACCTGACTTAAGCAGCATGTCAAGCACAAAAATATTATTTTTCCACTTTTCAAGGTTCCCTCATTTTATCACAGCATAACAACATCATTTTAGAATCTAAGAAGCATGGAATCATTTTCATGGATTTTAAAGCAAGCATATTTTATTTTAATACAGTTTCAAGGCCAGATCAAGCCAAAAAGCCAAACAGGTTTGATGAGTGGGTATTATTTTTTAATCACGCTTAACTTTAAAGAGATTGTTTCCAACATATCATATGCATCTCTTTGAAATAATATAATATTATAATAATTTTTTATATATTAATAATGTAATATTGCTGCAGTGCTCATCTTGTTGCTAAACCAATTAACAATAGGCAGGTTCCACTAACATTTGACAACCACAATGTGTCCGAGTACATCTTGTCTTCATTTTGATCAGCATACTTTTTGTTGTTTTATAATTGAAAGCATTTTTCCTTTTCTTTCTTTAAAATAAATGGAATTTGATGTGATATGCTTCGCAGCTGATAGGGAACATTCTCAGAACATTGGCAAGGTTCTCTTAAAATTATGAACAGATATTCTTCCAGTAAAGTTAACTGAACATTCATTCAAGGTTATCTGCTACTTAATAATGTTGTCAAAACATTAGCACAGAAACATTATTCACCCATGGAATGTTCGGAGAACAACATTTCCATAATGTTTGCAAAATTAAATCATTAGATGTTTTGAACATTCAGAGAACATTCTGAAATTACATTTTCATAATTTCATTGGAACATTATCAAAATGTTTTTAGTGTTAGCTGGTTGATTTTTATCTTTTCTAATGCAATGGCATGCTTACTTTTTTAAGTATGACTTTAATGTCACTGTAATAGTACCTTTTCATGAATTTAAGTTAAGGTCACAAAGCACACGTTTGAAAATGCAAGTCACAGAATCTACGATCTACGAGCAACTGAGGAAACTGTGTTTATCTTTTACTTAGACCTATAGAGGCGATCAGGTTAGAGAGAGTAAAGATCAGAAAAGGAACAGAGAGATGAAAAAAGAGGAGCAAAGTAAAAAAAAAGAAAGCAATTTCAAGCTGTCACCAAACACAAGACCTGAACAAAACTGAAGAAAAGAGTTGGGGAAAGCTTGATCAGAGGCTTAAAATAAAAAGGGGCGAGAGGGAACAGATAGTCTGAAAATTCAGAAAGAGAAGCTGAGAGAAACGCAAAAATAGAAAAGGATATTGACTGAAAGACGAAAATGACACAATCAAGGCAGACACTCTCTTTAGAAGAAAAGAAAGATCTGGTAAATGATCTGACTTTATTGGATCCTCCATTCACTCTCAATCCATCTTTTTTAGCCCATTCGCTTTCTTTCAGACTTTATTGCTTGCTCTTTTTTTCATTCTATGTCTTTCTATGACCCTCTATTAAAATGAATAGGTTAAGCCGATGCCCCTGTGGCTCAGACTGGACTGAAGAGAGGATATGAAATGAGAGAGATAAGAGGTGTTGAGAGAGTCATGCTATAGGGGATACACCTCAGAAATGAAATCTATCTGATAAAGATATCTTCTTTAGGGTGGGAGAAAGACACATACAAAAGATATTTTCTTTACAAAAAACCCTTGTATTTAACATGCAACTAACATTGAGAAAGAAAGAAAATGTCATTGCCATTTTATATCTTCATTTGTAGTAATAATTGTGACTTTCTGTCTCACAAGTTCACTTTATATCTTACAATTTCAGCGTTGTTTTACACTGTAACTGTATATTTCTCAATTGTAATTTTATATTTCACAATTGCAGCTTTATTTGTAGTGTCTGTGACTTTATATCTCGTAATGTCACTTTATATGTCACACCTGCGGCATTGTTTTGCAAATGTAACTGTATTTCATAACTTTTTGTTTCACATTTAAACTTTATATTTCACAGTTGTTACTTTATTTGACATAATTGCGATTTTATATCTCACCGTGTCATTTTATATCTCACGTTTGCGACTTTGTGTTTCGCAATGTACACTAACTGTATACTTCACAATTGCGACTTTATTTGTAGTATTTGCGACTTTTTGTCTTGCAGTGTCATGTTATATGTCACATTGTGTTATGCAATGCAACTGTATATTTCCCAATTGCAACTTTAGCTAACACTTTCTATGAAGCCCGTATTTATAATACATTATAAGAGTATTCTTAAGGCATTATAATGAATGCATAATGTATTATAAAAAAACTTTTAATATGTTGTATCATCTCATGAGTAATCATAACAACAGTTTTAATGCATTATAATATTTACTTATTTGTGGTTATTGCTTTTAAGATTATGATGATTTATAATACACAATGAACACAATGCATCCACTTAACTTACAATGGATTGTATTTCCCATAGAAATAATGTATTATAAGTCTTGCAATTGTGACAGTAACTTGTTACTTTACTTAAAGCAGACAAAGACCACTTATAAATAATAACAACAACAATAACCTTTTTTTCTTAAACAGCCATAAAATCAGATATCTGGTCAGATGAATGTGTAACATGGCACATTTGATTTTAAATATATTTATTGTAATATCAGTAAGATACTTTAGAGATCTTAAATAAATAATGTCAAGATATGAGACTTATAATCCATTATAAATTAAATGGATTTAAGTTAACATGGTGTTTATTGCATGTTATCAATAATCATACTCATAAAAGTTATAACCACAAATAAGTAAGTTTTATAATTTTTTATAATTGTTGTTATGATTATTTAAGAGATGAAACAACATATTCTACGTTTTTTATAATGCAATATGCATTCATTATAATGCCTTAAGAATACCCTTATATTGTGTTGTAAAAAAAACGGCTTCATAGAAAGTGTTACTCAACTTTATATCTCACAATTATGACTTTGTGTTTCACATTGCAACTTTATATTTCACAATTGCAACTTCATTTGTTGTAATAATTGCGATATCTCGCAATGTCCCTTTATATTTTACAATTTCAGCATAGTTTCACATTGTAAATGTATATTTCACAGTTGCGACTGAATTTGTAGTAATTGCGACTTTATATCTCGCAGTGTCATTTTATATCTCACATGATCTCACATGTATATTTCAAAATTCAACATATAAGTTGCATTTTTTTAGTGTACAGCATCGGATGCAGCGACTGATAACTACAGAAGTTTCTGAAACCTCAAAAGACATCTTGTGTTATAAGGTCAGAAGGACCAACATAACAGATAAGAAAACTAACACATAAAGAGATTTAAAAACCACAACCATACGGGTTTTGCAGATCTGTCCATTCAATATGCAGTATGTTGTGTGGTGTGTTGTAGGCTGAGAATTTATATGTGGATTTTCCCGATTCCTTTGATGTTATATTCCACTGATCTCTCAGAACATGGTGGGAATACTCTGATTACCAAGACATGCTCAGAGCATCACAAGTGGAAAAAACTGACATATGTACTACTACACTCATTTGTGAATATCTTAGGTATGAGTGTGCAACAGAATAATTTTCAAAATGAGATCGTTACTACCTCAGCTGCTTCTCCCAGACAACAACAGGCATAAAGAGCAAATTGAGACTTTTTAAGTCTCCTGCTTTCTTAGACCCTTCTGAGAAAAAAGACCAAGACCTCAGTAATTTCACATGTCTCTTTTAGAGTTTTAGAAGAGATCTCAGTGTCTCAAACTGTGCTCAGATTTGCCAAGACACCAAAGTCTGCAAGTATGATTTCAAACATTCTTCCAAAATCAAATTATCAGATCTATACTATGGATGCCCGTTTCTGCCACAGAATAAAAATAAAATTAATAAAGAAAATAAAAGAAGTAATTGTGACTTTTTATCTCATAATTCAGACTTTTTTCTCCCAATTCTGTGAAAAGAAAGTCAGAGTTGTGATATAAACTCGCAATTTAGATTTTTTTTTTCTCTGAATTTTGACTTCACATCTTACAGTCCAGTTTTTGTTTTTTGGAATTACATGGAATTGTATATTTCACAATTGTCACTTTTTGTCACAATTGCGACTTTGTGTTTCACAATGTAACTGTATATTTCACAATTGCGACTTAGTAATAGCAACTTTATATCTCATAATGCCAATTTATATCTCACACTTGCAACATTGTGTTTTGCAATGTAACTGCATATTTCACAGTTGCATCTTTATTTTTAGTAATTGTGACTTTATATCTCGTAATGTGACTTATAGCGCATAATGTCACTTTATAGCTCACAATTGTGACATGGTGTTTCGCAATGTAACTGTTTTGCAATTGTGACTGTCTCATATCTTCACTTTATATCCTATCATTGCGACTGTTTTGCAATGTAACTTTATATTTTGCAATGGATATGTTGCAATTGCAACTAGTTTATTTCTAGTAATTGTAATATTGTGTTTCACAATGTTTCTTTATTTCTTATTAAAAAATATAAAAGCTTTTTATCTCACAATTTGGAATTTTTCTAACAATTCTGAGAAAATAAGTCAGAGCTACGAGATATTGACTTTCAATCTCTGAATTCTGACTTTACATCTTACCATTTATTTTGTGTCCGCCGTGAAATTCTGATATCTCGCAAGTTATTTTTTTATATCAGAATTGTGAGAAAAAAGTCGCAATTACTGTCATGTTTCGCTACTATGAGGAGCACGGAGACGAAGGAGTGAGGAGACGAGGAGTGGAATTCAAACATATAGATTTTAATGAACTTCCAGGGAACAAGGAAAACACACGTAGCAAGGGTAGACATACAGTATGCAGACCAGAACAGAGTCTGACAATTACCTTTTTTTTTCATCCCATGACGGGTTTTTTTATTCAGCTCCTATACTATACTCTAACTCTGTCAACAATTGTCTTATTTATTTAAGGAGTTGTCAGTGAAACACAGTTTACAGTTAGAGTAAATAAAAATAAAGGACTCCAATAACCATCTAAGCTACAAAAGAGCGACTTCTGAGCAATACAGTTTTCCTTCAGTGTGTTTCTCCTTTGCTGATGTGTGATAAGGGATGAAATGAGCAAGTGTGTGTGTGTGTGTGTGTGTGTTTGTGTGTGTGGATGCACATATGTATGTCAATACCTGTGACAGTACTGGAGCAGGTGTGGTTATGAATGAGGGCCTGTTCTTCGATCATCATCCCCGGCTCAATGATGTGCAGCCTCTGGCCAGCCCTGGATGCCTCCAGTTTTCCCTCTGTTAACACACACACACACACACGTCATCTACAGCTCTCAAGGTTGCCGGGAGTGACAGGTGTTGAGCAGCAATGTGAATGTCACATAGTCGATGATCTGACCCATCACAGATTAGGCACGGAGATGCTCAGAGCCCAAACAATCCAGAACATCAGGACAAATACCGGCCTCCTTTAATGAATCACGGCTGGAGTTAGCACAGCTCACAGACAGGTATTGATGAACACTTTAATGGATGGTAATAGACCTCGCTACTGCTTTCCATCCTTTTTTTCCACTTGCAACCTGGGTATTTAGACTTGCACTGACATTTTAAAACTCATTTCGCCTCACATAACCAGCAGGAATGTTTTCTTTCTGTCTTCCTAGAAACAGGTCAGTCTCACACTTCTCCTGCTACCTGCCTGATCCTGCAAACACTATGGGAGGTGCATACTAATTAATGTGCCTCAGTCAGACAGAGGAACAGAGTGAATTAGAGTCTGAAGTACACTTGTGATGTTAGTCAAGTTTTCTGGCACCAAGTACATTTTTTATGACTATTTTACACCTCTTTAGCTTTAGAATTAAACAGACTTTTATTTATTTTTTGGCTACTGTATCTTTAAGAATTCTATGTGAAGTGACCTCTTTGCTGCTTGTTCTTGATTTTAGCTGGACTAAAGCACTGGCAAAGTCTTATTTTTTTTAAATGCCATGTAAATGCTTTAGTCTAACTGAAATTGTACAATTTTTGTAAAGTCAGACTGATATATATATATATGGATATCCAGGGAACAAGGAAAACACACGTAGCAAGGGTAGACATACAGTATGCAGACACAGAACAAAGTCTGACAATTACCTTTTTTTTCATCCCATGACGGGTTTTTTTATTCAGCTCCTATACTATACTCTAACTCTATGTCAACAATTGTCTTATTTATTTAAGGAGTTGTCAGTGAAACACAGTTTACAGTTAGAGTAAATAAAAATAAAGGACTCCAATAAACCATCTAAGCTACAAAAGAGCGACTTCTGAGCAATACAGTTTTCCTTCAGTGTGTTTCTTCTTTGCTGATGTGTGATAAGGGATGAAATGAGCAAGTGTGTGTGTGTGTGTGTGTTTGTGTGTGTGGATGCACATATGTATGTCAATACCTGTGACAGTACTGGAGCAGGTGTGGTTATGAATGAGGGCCTGTTCTTCGATCATCATCCCCGGCTCAATGATGTGCAGCCTCTGGCCAGCCCTGGATGCCTCCAGTTTTCCCTCTGTTAACACACACACACACACACGTCATCTACAGCTCTCAAGGTTGCCGGGAGTGACAGGTGTTGAGCAGCAATGTGAATGTCACATAGTCGATGATCTGACCCATCACAGATTAGGCACGGAGATGCTCAGAGCCCAAACAATCCAGAACATCAGGACAAATACCGGCCTCCTTTAATGAATCACGGCTGGAGTTAGCACAGCTCACAGACAGGTATTGATGAACACTTTAATGGATGGTAATAGACCTCGCTACTGCTTTCCATCCTTTTTTTCCACTTGCAACCTGGGTATTTAGACTTGCACTGACATTTTAAAACTCATTTCGCCTCACATAACCAGCAGGAATGTTTTCTTTCTGTCTTCCTAGAAACAGGTCAGTCTCACACTTCTCCTGCTACCTGCCTGATCCTGCAAACACTATGGGAGGTGCATACTAATTAATGTGCCTCAGTCAGACAGAGGAACAGAGTGAATTAGAGTCTGAAGTACACTTGTGATGTTAGTCAAGTTTTCTGGCACCAAGTACATTTTTTATGACTATTTTACACCTCTTTAGCTTTAGAATTAAACAGACTTTTATTTATTTTTTGGCTACTGTATCTTTAAGAATTCTATGTGAAGTGACCTCTTTGCTGCTTGTTCTTGATTTTAGCTGGACTAAAGCACTGGCAAAGTCTTATTTTTTTTAAATGCCATGTAAATGCTTTAGTCTAACTGAAATTGTACAATTTTTGTAAAGTCAGACTGATATATATATATATGGATAATGAGAATGTAACTTGGCTTCATTCAGCATGTGTAAAAACAGAGTGAATTAGAGTCTGAAGTACACTTGTGATGTTAGTCAAGGTTTCTGGTACCAAGTACATTTTTTATGACTATTTTACACCTCTTTAGCTTTAGAATTAAACAGACTTTTATTTTATTTTTTGGCTACTGTATCTTTAAGAATTCTATGTGAAGTGACCTCTTTGCTGCTTGTTCTTGATTTTAGCTGGACTAAAGCACTGGCAAAGTCTTATTTTTTTTAAATGCCATGTAAATGCTTTAGTCTAACTGAAATTGTACAATTTTTGTAAAGTCAGACTGATATATATATATATGGATAATGAGAATGTAACTTGGCTTCATGCAGCATGTGTAAAAACAAACTAAAATGTACATGCATATATAGATACTTATGGAAGCTTGTTTCAGCAACAGGAAAAAAAAACATACAAATAAAATAAAAAAGGTAACTGCGACTTTTTTATCTCACAATTCAGAGTTTTTGTCTCATAATTCAGAATCGCAATTCCTAAACTCAGAATTAACTTGCAGTTCTGGGAAGGGAAGACGGAATTGTGAGATAAAAAGTCACAATTATTTTTTTTATTCCATGGCTGAAGAAAAAATTAAGAAAAACACAATATATACAGTCAATTTAGAATTCAGAGAAAAAAGTCAGACATGCAAGGAAAAAGAAAGAAGTGTCCTTTGCTCACCATGGCTGCATTTATTTGATCAAAAACAGTAATATTGTGAAACATTATTACAATTTTACAATTTAATCCTATTTTTTAAAATTGTTATAAAAATATAAAGTTATTCCTGTGATAGCAAAGCAGTATTTTTGCTGCTAATTTGCTGCTCAAGAGACATTTCTTATTATTATCGATGTTGAAAAGTTGTGCTGCTTCATATTTTGTGGAAATCATGAGATACATTTTTTCAGGATTCTTTGATGAAAGTTCAAAACAACCGCATTTATTTGAAATAGAAAGAAAAAGCATTTGCTGTCACTTTTGATCATTTTAGGATAAAAGTACAAATAAATAAATCAATCTTACTGGCCCCAAGCTTTTGAACTCCTTTAAAAAATATAAAGAAAGAATGTCTGGGTCTGGAGTTTATTTAAATTTCAGTCTGATTTTGTATTTTATCACACATTGTTTTCTCACAAACAACAGCTTTTGCAGAAAGGCTATTATTGTTCGACAGGGAAGCACAAGTATATCTGAACTAAAACCAAACCCACAACCTGTAAATGCTGTTATTCATTTCGAATGCAAAGAGGATGTTTACATAGAAGTCTTAAAAGCACAGTAGCAAAATTATATTATATTATATTATATTATATTATATTTCTGCCACAAATATTTGGACAAATGTGCCACAAATACTTCCTAAACAAAATACTGATTTTGTTTACTTTATTGGCCTTTGAACTTAGCTTTATTGCCTTGCCAAAGCACTGACAGAGCCCACTGATCTAATGGCGTTGTTGAGCGCTCCAAATGCAAACTTTGCATGCAACAATCAGGCAGCAATTGACAGCACTCTGATCTAGTGGCATACAGGCATCGTCAGATTTGACAGTACTCTAGCCCAATAATGTTGGGGGATCCAGTGGGGGCGGCAGTCATATTTCAGGGTGACCGTGCCACTCTTTATCACAACCCTGCTAAAAGTGCCAGTACGTGCGCTCATTGGCGCCCCTTCAGCTGGTGGAGCCCAAGGCGACCGCCTAGCTCGCCTATGCCTAGAAACGGCCCTGCCTGGAGGCATAACTGCACCTCGGCTAATAATGAGTGACTTTTTAGCACTGGGTTATAAGATAACCATGTAAGCACTGGGTTCTGTGAACGTTCAGACATGCTCACAGATCAACATGCAGTATGAGTACAAAGACAGCTTCTTCCATTCTGAGAGGTATTATGAGGTATTATGGTATTACGAGAGTATCTCTTTCATTCTCACACTCTTGCTCACCTTCAACTATGTATGCCTGGGCCCCATTATCCTCTTCCTGGACAACACTCACACCCTGTTTGAGCGTTATGGGATAGGCAGAATCCACCAAACAGCGCATCTGATCCCTGACTAGATATTTCATACACTCATTTTCTGCTAGAGCCGATTCTATCAGCTGCTGCGACCTGAAATAAATAAAGACACATCAAGAGTTCCATTGGGGAAATCTAGCAGTTTAGGCAACAAGAGAATGAGTTGAGATTTTAGGCAGGTTCTTACTCTTGACTCTTGCTGTAGCTGATTGGTTTGTTTTGTAAGACTAGTTTCGGCTCCAGGGTAACTGGTTCTGTTAGCAGAGCTTTTCTCCTCACTCTCAGGGAAGGAGCAGGTTGTTGACCTAAATGCAAATGAAATGAGCGTAAAGATAAATAATACAATGTTTTTATAAGATTAAAAAAGACTGGGTTGTTACCTCTGAACTCTGTGCAGCTTGCTGATGCATAATGCATAGAAAAATAAAGTGAGATTTGTTTTACCGTAGATTATTATGGCTGCACTAACGTGTTCTTCTTTCGTCCTTGACTTCATGTCTGCTGGGATTCTGTAGTTTCTCAACATTTAGAATCGTATTTAATTTAAAACTCAATTCATATAAACGTCAAATGGCAGTAAGATTTAAATCTGTGTGCATGTGTGTGGACCCATACAGATCAGATGATCAGACAGATGGCCACAATGCCAAAGAATAATAAGATGTAATTAAAAATGCATACATGTGTGAGTAGATATTTTTATTCTGTAATGGTTTGCTCTGTTTTAGTATTGGACTGTCTTTAAGAAGTGCCTTTAAGAATTGGTGCTTCCTTTAAGAATGTAAGAGAGATGGAGCAACACAGTTTTTGACTGGAGTTTATTTTGTTTGTCTAAGAACTTTCAGTAAACAGTTTAAACCTGAATGAAGACCAGAGTCAATCATTTGCTTGAAAGACTCATGAAGTATTATTGCTACTATAACTAGGGCAACCTGAACTACACTATTTACAAAGCTATTTCTATACCTGATTTAATTCGTTTAGTTGGTATAAATTGATGTGCATAGTTTGGTTCAGTGATGTTAATTATTATTTTTGACGTATAAAATCAGTTGTTTTAGATGTTACCACTTTTAGCTTACTTTAGTTTCAGCGTAGGAACGTCTAAATGCATCAACGATACATCAATATGTATCAAAAAAATGTCACTGGTGGTGTATAGGGGCTTCAAAGATTTAAGGCAACAGAAGCGACAATGCTGAGCTGACCGAGTTAACAAAGTTCAACTATACGCAAATGCGAATTGATGCAGCGACCGCCAATGCAAAAGGCAGCTGGGGCCCTGTTTACACTTGGAATTAAGATTTTGTTGGTGTTTTCCTCACACCAATCACTAGTGGACGATAAAACGTAGGAGCTTGTCCACTTTTGACTGCTTCCAGAGGTAGTTGAAAACCCACTCAACTGGATTGCTTTCATTCTCAAATTCATTCAAACAACCACAAAAGACTGCCTACTCAATTGATCTGTAATCACTGACGTGTTGTGAGAAAGCACACCAAAAATCAAACTTATCTACCTTGTACCAAAACACACACTCATTTGTTCGTAATCCGTGTAACATGGGTTCGTTTAGTCAATATTATTTGTAAAACGCACCATCCATCCTGGAAGAGTCATTTACACTGACAGTCATTTTCAGTGATCACTTATTTTCAAAGAGAGCTGACAATATCCAACTGACAAGCAACAGAGATTTTGTTGTTGCAACAAAGTTGTACAGATATGATTACCATACAGATGAGCAACTGACACTTTTTGGGATAGTTCCCTCAAAAATGAAAGTTCACCCTCATGTCATTCCAAAACTGTATGCATTTTTTTCTTCTGTGGAACACAAAAGAAGACATTTTGAAGAATAGTGGGAACCAAAAAAAAAAATTACAGGAAGGGCAGGTAATATTTTGATTAAAAATTATGAGGTCAAAATATAAATAAAACTGTATATATATATATATATATATAATATGTATGAATGTATGAATTATATATGAATATAAATATGAATTGTTCACAGTGACATGCATTGAGAAAATAAATACGAAAATAAATAAATTTGATTTCATGCTGACTCACTTGTGCCCTTCAAGTGGAGTCGGAAATACTGTAATTAGGTTACACTTTATTTTAACTTGTCCTTGTTACAGTATGATTATACAATTAAGTACTGAGTAATATAAATTTAAAATATGTACATATAAGGTTTAGGGTTAGTTGCATGTAATACTGCATCATTTACTGTTATTGCTAGTACATCTAGCATGTAACTCTCTAAAATAAAGTAATTAAGTGTAATTTAGTGTAATTAAGTTCTCTGAACACATCAACGAGCAAGCAAAGTCTTATTTAAAGGTGAAACTCTCATTCTAGATTGTACACAAGTAGCTGAATTGAAATAGGCTATGGAGGAAATGCTGATCTATAATATAGATAATATCATATATCTATATGTATATAGAGATCAGTGAGCGGAAAGCAAGTAACAAATGGAGTTAATCCCTCAACTTTCACAATTTGCTTGACATTTAGTTGTGATATAGGCTACTGTGTATAAATAATAAGTGATAGAAATGAATTATCATCATTTTAATTCAGATGTAGTTATTTGGGGTTATTGTTGACAATATAATTATTTTGATTTGTTTATGCTTCTTCCATGTTAGCCTAGTGGAATTTCGCCGGAAAAAAGTCCATTGACTATTCTTAATAGGATAGCAATGTATGAAGAATTGCCTGCGCTCTCGATCGAAATGGCTGGATTTGACACAATTGCTGATTAACGTTAGCGACAACTACGTGCGTGACCTCCAGTGATTTATCGCTTCCAAAATAAAAGTTTTTGTTTACATAATATATGTGTGCGTACTGTGTATATTTATTATGTATATATAAATGCACACACATGCATGTATATATTTTGAAAATATTCACATGTATTTTCATGCATATTTATTTATAAATATATTTAATATATAAACAACATATTTTTCTTAAATATGTACATGCATGTGTGTGTATTTATATATACATAATAAATATACAGAGTACACTCACATATATTCTGTAAACAAAAACTTTTATTTTGGAAGCGATTAATCGCGATTAATCGTTTGACGGCACTAATATAGCCTCTCTCTCTCTCTCTCTCTCTCTCTATATATATATATATATATATATATATATATATATATATTACTAGTCAAAATGTATTTCTGACAAATAAAATGAAGCGGTTTTCCGTACCAGCCGCTGAGAGCCGCAGACGGTCGAGCTCCCCCCCCAGGCGGCGGATCAGATCATCTTTAGCGTCCAGCTCGAGCTCGAGCTCGTCGATGAGAGCGTCTCTCTGCCGTAACTCCTCAATCTTCAGCTGAAGTGCGAACTGAAGATCTCTGAGAGTCCCCATGAGCCCTGCGCGAGGGGACACAGAGAGGGGCTGATGGGTGCGTGCGTTTATGTGAGATAACTGGACAATTCTACAGAATGAAATTAACGGCAGACAAAACTGAAGTTGCTCTGAGATGATTTAAAGAATCTCCAAAGCTCATCAACTGTATTAGCCTATCGAGTCGCAGTCAGCGCTGCATATTAATCCAAACAGATTAAGCCACGACAAAACCAATTTATTATTATTATTTTTATTTCTTTACACACTGCATTGACAATAAGCGATGGGCTAACCGAGAAGACATTTACCTGAAAAATATAAGCAAGGAACATGGGACTTACAAACAGACCGAAGGCAATAAATATCCCCTCTGGAATGACAGAGCTGGTCAGCTTTAGGAATACTGAAGACATCCAGAGTGTGAATGTTTGAATCATGCCTTCGCCGCACGAGCGCTGATCTGACACAGAGCGAGAGAGAGAGAGAGAGAGAGGGAGAGAGAGAGGGAGAGCCACGCTATGATCAATGTTCAATGTTGACGAGTTGCATAAAACAATGCAACAAAATAAACTGTTTTCATTGCATTCAAGCTCGGTTGCACTAAATATGATTTATCAATGACTATGCCGACAACATGTAGCATTATAGCATAATTTCTAAAAGAAAAATAGGACAGTAATTTTCAAAAATGTGCTTCTGGCTCGATTACTTGATCTTACAAAACACAACATTTTAATAATGACTAATATGTTGTTGTTGGTTTGTGTTGTTTGTGTTTTATAGGCATAAAGTTAGCTATGCTAATAAATAATACAGTTTTAGTCGTTTTTATATATTCGCGTGAATGGGGATCATTTTGACAACATTGTCATCTGAGCAGAAAAATATATCAAAAACACAAAGGAAAACCTTTTCTGCTTTTAATGCAATTATACCCTCAATCAGTTACTGTAAAAAAAAAGAAAAAAATACATATTTAATGTAGTTTTCGTCACGACCTGTCAATTAACTACTAAAACAGTCACTTCTTTTTGGACCCAAGTCAAAAAGTCCACTGTCCACATTTGCAGGAGTCATGAAAGTTGCACAGGTGCATTCAATTTCACCAAGCTGAGTAAACGGTTGTTAAAAACACTTCATTTGCAGACCTTTTTTTTCAGGTCATTTCAAATTTAGATTCAGAATCTGGATTTGGAGAATTATGGACGTGACTGAAAGTGAAGTGGTTCTGTTTCCATCAGTTTTTCACATTTATAAGAAAACTATAAATATAGCCTACTTGTGTTATTTTTCCTTAACTAGTTAAGAGCAACACCCAACCTAAAAGCAGATTTCATTGGTCAACTCGGTTGTATTCACCTGTTCAGATTTCAGAGTTAAGTCATTAAGTTAAACACTAATGCAGTCAATTAGGGTGTGCTACACTCTAAAAAATGCTGGGTTGTTTCAACCCAACTTTGGGTCAAATATGGACTAACCCAATTATTGGGTTACATTTTTAAACTAAATTTTTAACCCAAAAGTTGGGTTAGTCCATATTTGACCCAAAGTTGGGTTGAAACAACCCAGCATTGTTTGAGTGTACCAATGCTGTAGTGTACGTTTACACAATGTACTACAAAACAGAGAAGCTTTTCCTTTGCAATTTTTGAAAAGTTTAATGTACAGATGACAACGTTGTCAAAACAATCTGCGAAAACTACTAAAAACACTGGATTATGCATGCCGGTATAGTTGGAAATGTCACCGCTGGCCTGGCATATATTTATTAATGCTCAAAAACAATACAGACAGTAATAGATAACAATGGTACATGTCTGAACAAGTAATATGCATCCGCATGACGTCACCGTTGCACAAATTTGCATTTTTATATGGAGATGTTCTCGTTAACCATAGTTTTCAGGCCCCCAAAACGTCAAAGTGCATAAAAAGCTTTCAGTTTTTAGTTGAAAACATTGTTGTGTGAACACCCCTTATTTACACCACAACGATTTACTACAAAAAAGGTTTTTCCTTAGCATAGGCTTTAAAAAGTTTCACACACAGATGACAACGTTGTCAACACAATCCCTGTTCACATGGATCCGCAAAAACAAAACAAAAAAACGCTGTAGGCCTATTATGTATGCCAGGCCAGTAGATGGCGACGTTACTTCGAAAGAAACTTACACATGTCTATAGACTGAATAGTAATATGCATGCACATGACATCACCGTTTTCACAAATTTGTGTTTTTTACACAGAGATAATACTGTTTTCATAAACGTACAGTTTGAAACCCATTTTCAAAAGTTCGCATTTTCCGGCCCCCAAAATGCTGTTGTCATGTAAATGAACGGCCAAAACGCACAAAAAGTGTTCAGTCTTTAGTTAAAAACGGTGTTGTGTAAGGTTAGGGTTATTTGTTTCAGTTTTATGTAGACAGTCAGCACTGTGATTGATATGAGCAATGAAATCTTTCAATGAAATCAGTCGGCTGCGGGCATGGTTTGCGCTTCAGGAAAAAAAATTAAAAAGTCAGGCATTTTACGAGGGGCAGGTCATCTCATGGAGGCCGCCATGTACAGATATGAAGACTTTTGCATGATGCTGCACCACCAGAGTGCATCAGCACTACATAAACAACAACAACAACAAAATCTGCATAAAGTGGAATTATTGCAAGAGCAGTTTACTGCATAAGATGCAGTGTGAAGTGTGATGTTAAAAGTCACTTCTTAATACCACAAGTCACCATCAACCATCAGAGCACCATAATCACCCAGCAACAGAAAAAGGAAATATATGATTTGTTAAAAATATATTAGAGGGCGGGGTTTTATCTGTTGTCCCGTGTGTTTGCCCTCTTCCGTATTGCAGCGTTTTGTGTTCAGACAGAGAGTATAGCAGACCAGACGTGAACTCGACGGACGGACAGAGTATGCTGCACCACCAGAGTGCATCAGCACTACATAAACAACAACAACAAAATCTGCATAAAGTGGAATTATTCCAAGAGCAGTTTACTGCACAAGATGCAGTGTGAAGTGTGATGTTAAAAGTCACTTCTTAATACCACAAGTCACCATCAACCATCAGAGCACCATAATCACCCAGCAACAGAAAAAGGAAATATATGATTTGTTAAAAATATATTAGAGGGCGGGGTTTTATCTGTTGTCCCGTGTGTTTGCCCTCTTCCGTATTGCAGCGTTTTGTGTTCAGACAGAGAGTATAGCAGACCAGACGTGAACTCGACGGACGGACAGAGTAACAGAGATCAGGGACATTAGGGTGAAAATCATGTTTAAACTAGCTGTAGTCGCTCTTGTGCTTCTCAGCGCCAGCTGTTTTGCCAAACAATGTAAGTAGGCCTATAATGAATCTGTTTTCTGACGCAGGCGTTCTTTGCTACTCTTCTTACTATGGTTTTTATTTTTAGTAGCCTAATTGTTGTTCATTTTATTTTTGATAATATTTTATATTTCCATGGTTTATACAGTCTTTATCAAATCCTACGTTTGAATCCCTCATTAGTTTAAAAAAATATATATGTACATGTTTTTTTAACCTATATAGCGTATGACGTACTTTCAGCTACTGGAGAATACGAAGGATAAAATCCTTTAAATTGTTCAAAACATAACAAAACGTTGAAAAACGTATATTTGTCATTTTAAAAAGCTTGTGAAAATCTGTCCAGGGAATTCAAACATATCTAAGACGTTTGTTTGTCTGAAATCCCCGGAACATTTTACTTTCACTTTCACTTTGCGGGGAAAATCCTCAAGATAACGTTACTGAAAAACTGGTTTTTACTGGATATTAATGGTTGGTAGTTATAAAGTCACATTAATATGACACATGATAACATGTTATTTAATCAAGTTTTTTAGTTTCTGTAAGAAACGATTCTTGTGTTAAAATTACAGTTATAATGAATACAAAAATAAACAACCAGGCCTAATAGCCTACTACTGTACATGGGACAAAGTCGAGACGTCCCATTGTGGTGCCTGCATCAAATTAAAATGACAAAAGTACTTTATGTATATACAGAGAAAGCATATTAAATCCAAGTAAAGTGGTTTCTTTTGTGAAAATAAAATGTCAAAGTATGGGTGAAATAGGCTAATGTTCCATCGTCATTCAGTGTAACAGATATATGTAATATATTTACTTATTAAAATTGAAAATATATGTATATATATATATATACTGTATATATATATATATATATAGTGACAAAGATTAGTAAAAATTTAAAATGACAAAAAAATACTGTTTTTGGGGGCTGCACTGTGATCCTTGAATAGAGTCTTGAATGTCATCTAATGAGTCTTGTTTTAAATATACGTTATATGAACTAACTATACACTGAATTACACTTTAGTGGGTGTCTTCAGTAAATCATGGTAATAATGTATTCTAGTCTTTTT